CTCTTTTCTTAGTTTCCTCTCTATCCGTTCATTTGTTGATGGGCACTTGGGTAGTTCCCTCTCTTTGCTGTTGTGAACAACTCAGCAATAAGCATGAGTATGCATGTATCTGTTTGGGTGTTAGTTCCAGGTTTTTTAGGGACTGTTCCCAGTAGTGCAATTGCTGGGTCAAATGGTATTTCTATTTCCAGCTTTTTTAGAAAGTGCCATCTACTGCTACACTCCTACCAACAGTGTATATGGATTCAAATTTCTCTACAACCTCGCCACTATTTATTGTTTGCTGCTCTGTTAAACTTTGCAATTGTTATTGGGGTGAGACGATATCTCATAGTTGTTTTGATTTGTATCTCTCTTAGAGCTAGGGATTTTTAACATTTCTTCATGTGTGTGTTCGTCATCTGAATGTCGTCTTTGTTGAAGTGTTTGTGCCCACTTTGTGACTGGGTTGTTTACCTTTATCCTTTTGAGGTACTAGAGTATTCTATAAATTCTAGATCTAAATCCCTTGTCAGACATGTCATTTTTGTTGTTGTTATTTGCCATTGAGTCACCTGCTACTCATAGCGACCCTGTGTACAACAGCCCTAAAACCCTCCTCTATCCTGTCCCGATCTTACTGTCTCTGACACACCTATACTGATTACCCCAGTTACTGAAGCAGTCCATCTCATGGAAGATTTACCTCTTTTGCACTGTCCCTCCACCAAGCATGACGACCCTTTCTAACAACATATGACGCTTTCTCAAAAAGTTAGAAATAGAATACCATTTAGCCCAGCAGTTCCACTACTAGGAATGTATGTACCCTAAAGGAAACAGAGCTGCCACTCAGATATATGCACACCCATGTTTGTTGCTGTGTTATTCACAGTAGCAAAGAGATGGAAGCAATTCAAGTGTGCATCAACAAATGAATGGATAAAAAAAACCTATGGTACATTCACGCAATGGAATACTACACAGCACTGAAAAACAAGGCACTCATAAAATATTACACAACATGAGTGGCCCTGGATGACATTAAGCTGAGTGAACTATCTCCATCACAAAAGGACAAATGCTGTATACGTGTACACCACTTATAATACAGGACTGACTTGTGGCTTGGGGGAAACTAAGAAAAGAGGGGATAAATGATAAACACTGCATTGGAACAGATGAAGGAAAGAACTGTTTAAAGGAATATATGATTAGTCATTGTTTGTATGACAACAGTCCAGAAGTAAGAGTTGTGTAGCAAAATGGACTGGGATGGGAGAGGAAATTATGCAACAGTGAAATTTTGTTTTGTTTTTTAAATTGAACAGGGCAGGGGTAGGGAGTAAAATGTGCAACAACAAATGAATGAAAATCCAGCTTTTCTATAAACTTTCATTTAAATCACAATTTAAAAAAAAAACACCCAGAGAATCGACCCATAGCTGAACCCTCCCGTGGGTTCTCAGAGGCATTTAATCATATGGGAGAAGATTGCTCATCTTTTGCCCATGGAGCAGCTAGTGGATTTGAACTGCATGCCTTCGGGATTGCAGCACAGCTTCTTGCCACTTGGCTGCCAGAGGTTCTCTAGAAGTAAATTTGGGCTAGTGATGGGGTTGGGGAGTACTTTTGGCATTTCTAACCAGTTTACTCTCAAACTCATAGCTGACTCTCAGTGAATTTTCCAAGACAGTAAATAACAGGGGAAAGAGATTGCCTTTCTTTCTCTCATAGAGCTGCTGGTAACTTCCAACCTCCAGAGAGCCAAGGACGTGTGTTTGGCAGCACAGCTCCCTGGGAACTATGCGTCTTGCGCTCCCTAACAAGTTCACTAGTTCCTTGGTAAACTCAAAAATGTTTGAGAACCTCTGGAGCTCCAGTAGCTTAGTGGTAAGGAATTGCACTTCCAATGGAAGCACATTGTTAAAATACATGAGCTGCACCCTGTGTGATTTACTGCCTCTGAAAATGCACTGAAAGGCTGGCTATGGCTTGATTCTAATACTGTAGTTTATAACAACCAACAATTTTTTTTTCTCTCTAACAACCAACAATTTTAAGACAGCATATATTTTTAACTTATGGTAATTTTTATGTGTAGAGTTCTTTGAAACAAAGGCTGACCTCTTAGAGGTGGTCTGGAACTTATCTTTTGCCGTACTTTGTTGTTGTTGTTGTTGATATGTGCCATCAAGTGGCCAGTGGCTCATAGCGACCCTATGTACTACAGCTCTGAACTCTTTCCATTGTCACTGTCTCTGGCACAACTACTTCCATTATCTCATTTGTTGTGTCAGTCCATCTCATCAAGGGTCTTCCTGTCCTGTGATGTCCCTTCACCTTCCATGCATGATATCCTTCTCCAGTGACTAGTCCCTCCTGGCCACATGCCCACTTTGGTATATGAGACTGAGCTTCAAAATCCTTGCCTCCAAAGAGAATCCTGGCTTCATCCTCTCCAGGGTAAAACCTGTTTGTTCCCTTGGCAGTCCATATATGTTTAACATTCTTCTCTAGCATCACAACTTAAAACCATACAAATTCTTCTGTTGTCTTTGATCATTTCCAGCTCTCTAATGCAGAACAAGTAATTGCAAAGACCATGACCTGAATCAGGCATACCTTAGTCACCACACTTACACTGTTGCTCTTCAATACTTTAGAGAAGTCCCTGACAGCAGCCTTCCCTAGAGCAGTTCGTCTTTAGATTTCTTGACTACTGGTGGCAAGAGTATTGATTGTGGAGCTGAACAAGCTGAATTTGTTAACAAACTCTTATCTGTTCTCCATCTTTCATGGTATTTCCATTTGGCCCAGTGGTGAGAATCTTTGTCTCCTTGATGTTGAGCCTCAATCCTTCCTTGAAAACGGCAGTCCTTGACCTTCTGCAGCAAGCCCTTCAACTCTTCCTCAGTTGCTATGAGCAAGATTGTATCAGCTGCATAATTAAGTTGTTGATGAATCGTCCTCAAATCTTGATGCTTCATTCTTCCTCTTAAAGTGCAGCCCCTAGAATGATCTGTTCTGTATACAGATTGAAAAGGCATGGAAATGCCTTTTTTTCCAAGCGGCCAGAAAGATGGTGGACATCCAGACCGCGTGCACCTACCAGAAGCAGCCCACCATCTTCCCGAACAAAAAGAGAGTGCTGTTGGGGGAAACGGGCAAGGAGAAACTCCGCGTTATTACAAGAACATCGGTCTGGGCTTCAAGATGCCCAAGGAGGCCATCGAGGGCACCTACATTGATAAGAAATGTCTTTTCACTGGTAATGTCTCCATCCGAGGGCGAATTCTGTCTGGCGTGGTGACAAAGATGAAGATGCAGAGGACCATCGTTATCCACCGAGATTTACCTCCACTACATCCGCAAGTACAATCGCTTCGAGAAGCGTCACAAGAACATGTCCGTGCACCTGTCTCCCTGCTTCAGAGATGTCCAGATTGGAGACATTGTCACCGTGGGCGAGTGCCGGCCACTGAGCAAAATCGTGCGCTTCAAGGTCACCAAGGCCGCAGGCACCAAGAAGCAGTTCCAGAAGTTCTGAACCGGGCACCACCCTGGATGAAATAAAGCTTATTTTTTCCCATTAAAAAAAAAGAAGTCATGGAAATGGGGTTCATCCCTGATGCACTCTTTTACTGATTTTGAACCATGCGGTGTTTCCTTGCTCTGTTCTGATGACTGCTTCCTGGTCCAAGTATAGGTTTTGCATAAACACAATCAAGTGTTCTGTTTCTGCATTACTTTAGTTTTTAAAAAAATCAACAATTTTTCAGTTGTTTGAAAGCTGAATTATGTGCAACAAGTGGATATAATGGTTAAGAATTTGGTGAGTTGGTTCAATCATAGTAAGAACAATATTTGTAACATTAAGGGCAAATAGGTGTTTTTCCTAAATTAGGCATTCCTAACTTATGGATTTACTGTATGCTGTAATTTTACAGTATTGCTAACTTAACTGTTGTTAAGTTGCCAAAACAACCACTACCCCAAAGCGGTATTTTTCTGACCCTTGTGCTTTGTTTCATTTCATGCTGATATAAGCCACATAAAATGTATTACCTTCCATTTACTATTATTATTTCTCAAATTCATTGTCATTGACTCAGACCCAAGTTATAGCTGACCCTCTGATGGGTTCTCAGAGGCTGTAAATCCCTGAGAGGAGATTGCCTATCTTTCTCCCTCAGGACAGATGGTGCCTTTGAACTGCCTGCCTTTGGGTTGGCAGCACAAGTCTTTACCTAATAGGCCACTAGGGTATAAATGGTGATGTATTTCCTCTACCGTATAGTATATAACAAACAGAAGTACATTATTTCTTTTCTTATATTTATGGGTGGTGGTTGTGTATCACCAAGCCAAGTCGGATCATCTCATTTCATGCTGGTGTAAGCCACCTGAGATGTGTTATTTTGTATTTACCACTGTTTTTTTCTCAAACTCATTGACTTGGAACCAAGTCATAGCTGACCCTACAGCAGGTTTTCAGAGGCAATAAATTACTCAGAAGAAGAGATTGCCCATTCTTCTCCCAAGAAGCATCTAGTGGATTTGAACCATGTGCCTTTGGGATTGCAGCATAGCTTCCTATCACTGTTCTGCCAGACCTCCCTTTCAGATTGCTACACAACTTTTTACTACTAGGCCCCCAGCGCTCCCTATTAATGGGGGGAGGAGGTGTTCCATCAAGTTGGAACTGACCCTCTAGCAGGTTTTCGGAGGGGGTAAATTGCACAAGAGGAGATTATTTGTCCTTCTCCCATGGACCCTATATATTTGAACTGCATGTCTTTGAGATTGCAGAACAGCTTCTTACCACTAAGCCATCTGAGCTTCTACTGTTTATGGGTAATGGGACTTAATGAAATCATTTTATTCTCCTAAACTTCTAACAAGCATATTAACTCCAAACAGTTTTTCATAGTATTTAACTGCTAAATTGTTGTTTACATTTCAATACATAATCTTATGTCATTATATGTATTTTCAACAGGGATTCTTTTACGGCACACCAAGAAAGTATGCAACAGATGATGAGAAGCTTTTCTGAACCTTTTGGAAGAGACATGTACAGCATCTCTGATGGTATAGGAAGAGCTCTTAATCGTAGGAGATATGATGATGATAATGGAAATGCCTTGACTGTAAGTTCTTTATTTCAGAGATAGAAGAAGATTCTGTGGGCCTTTGAAGAACAATTTATACAGAATATAACGACTATGATAGGATATGAATAATACCTGTGGTATAGAAATAGCTATTATATAAGAAAGATATACTTGTCTAGCCAAACTTAAACCATCATTTTTCCTTTTTAGAGAAGCTATGTGTGTGTTTCTGTGAATGTGTATACATATCATATATATGCTATGTATTTTTACATACACATATATGTATTTTTTCCTCATCTTATATAACCCTCAAGTCCAAAATTCAAACAGAGAAGGAAGTATCATTCTCTTCCCTATATCACTTTCTTCCCATACTTTAAAATATAAAATAACATGCTGTCATGTAACATCCCATCTCTATTGTGCTAGGTAACTCTGATATGTATAGCTACCTCACCCTCTTATGTTTCACAAATTTGGGGCAAGTACAGTATATTTTTGTGAATCTCGTTGAGAGCAAAGATGAACAATTACAAACACATTCAACCCCTCTCCCCTACTGGGACCTTCCCTCCCACCCTGAATTTTATGTATCCTAACCATTTTCCTACTTACCCATTTCCTTTATATTACTTTATAAACCTCTGAGACACTAGTCTGAGGCTAAGAAGTCTGCAAGGATTTCTTTAACAGTGAATTTCTGCAATTGAATTGCAGACATTGGAAAATTAGTAAACACTGAATCTGTCAGCTGGGGAACTTCAGATTTACAGCCTCTGAAAACCTACTGGAGGGTCATGGGTCTCACTGGCAGTGAGGGAGTGAGGGGAAGGGATGTGGGAAAACAGCTTTAGACAGGTAGAATCCAGAGGGAATTCAGAAAACAAGAACTTTAGAGTTGTATTTATATAGTAAAAGAATTCAGCTGCTTCTCTGAACTTACCCTTCTTCAAAGCATTGTATCACTGTTTTTTAAGAAATACCAGATTTTATCTACATTTATTATTAATTATGCTGATATTTTTAAAAAATGAGGGCTATGTCATAACTTAAAGTCTAATTTCCTTAGTATAACACCTCCTTAGGAGCAGTGGTGGCTTAGTGGCAAGAAGCTGCACTGCCATCCTGAAAGCATGCGGTTCGAATCGATAAGCTGCTCCGTGGGAGAAGGATGGGCAATCGCCTCCCATGCAGTTAACTGAAAACTGCCTAGAGGGCCAGCTGTGGTTCAGTTCCCACTTGATGGTACACAACAGCAATAACATAACTTCTTGGTATCTGATATTCTTAAGTAATGCCATGAGTGGTTGTCATTGCATTGGCTTTGACTCATGGTGATCTCACCTGTAATAGAACAAAAGTTTTTCGGACTCTCTACCATTTTCACAGTTCTTGGTATATTTGAATCCATTGTGCTGTTGTATCAGTCCAGCTCTTAGAGGATCTCCATCAATTTTGTTGACTCACTACCAAATATGAATTCATTTTCAGCAACGGGAAATGAAAAATCTATGGCTTGGGTCAAGTGCACCTTACCCATCAAAGTAACATCTTTGCCCTTTTTTTTTTTATAACAACAACAATTTATTTACAAATTTAAATACATTGTTTTTCACACTGATTCTTCCAATTTTCCTCACTTCCTCGCCCTTCAAATTGTACAAGCCCATGATTAAAACCTCCCTACCTCACACACATTCATCCTCTGCTTCCACCCTCCCCCCGTGGATACTCATTCTCCAATAATGCTTTTATATAATATTTGTCCTTATGGGACTTAGTTCACTCAACATAATGTTCTCCATTCCCTCCCAAATTAGGCCATAATTTACAAAATCATTGTTCCTGCATGCTGCATGGTGTTCCATTGTATGAATGTACTGTAATTTCTCAATCCATTCTATTGTGGTTTGACATCTGGGCTGCTTCCATGTTCCTGTGATGGTGAATAATGCAGCTGTGAACATTGGTGTACAAGTGTCCGTTTGTGCCTCAGTTCTCGTTTTCTCAGGGTATATTCCAAGTAGTAGAATAGCTGGGTCATTGGGTCATATGGAATTTCTGTGTTCAGCTTTTGGAGAAATGCCAAACTGCCCTCCAGAATGGATGTACCATTTTACAATCCCACCAACAATGTATAAGAGTTCCTTTTTCACCACATCCTCTCCAACATTTAGTACTTGCTGTCCTGTTAAACTTTGCCATGGTTACTGGAGCGAGATGATATCTCATTGTAGTTTTGATTTGCATCTCTCTTATTGCCAGTCATTTTGAGCATTTCTTCATGTGTCTTTTGGCCAACTGAATGTATACCTCTATGAAAATTCTTTCCATGTCTTTTGCCCATTCTGTAATTGTGTTACCAGTCTTTTTCTTGTGGAGGCCGTGTGGGATTCTGTAAACTTTCATTATGAGATTCTTGTCTGAGATGGTATTGCTAAATGTTTGTTCCCAGTCGGTAGGTTTTCTTTTCACCCTATTGGAAAATGTTTTTGATGTGCACAGGAATCTAATCTTTAGAAGATCCCATTCATCAATTTTATCCTCTTCAGATTGTGCATTTCTGGCTGTATTTGGCAGTCTCTTTATACCATTGATTAGAGCTTCTAAGTTTGATCCCAGTGTGTCTCTTATGACCTTTATGGTTTTGGGCTTTACTTCCAGGTCTCTGATCCATCTTGAGTTGATTTTTGTGTATGGTGTGAGATGTGGATCCTGTTTTGGCTTTCTGCAGGTGGAAGTCCAGTTTTGCCAGCACCATTTGTTGAAGAGGTTGTCATTTTCCCATTTGATAGGCTTGATTTCCTTGTTGAGTATCAGTTGACCATAGATAGCTGAATCCATTTCTGGGTTCTCAGTTCTGTTCCATTGGTCTATATGTATGTCATTGTACCAATACCATGCTGTTTTGATTATTGCTGCTGTGTAGTACGTTTTGAGGTCAGGTAGTGCTATGCCTCCAACCTCATTTTTGTTTCTCAGAAGTGTTTTACTTATTCAGGGTCTCTTACCTCTCCAAATAAATGTGACAATTTCCTTCAATCTCCTTGAAAAATCAGTTTGATATCTGTATTGGGATTGCATTGAACATGTGGATTGCTATTGGTAGGATTGTCATTTTCACAATATTGAATCTTCCTATCCATGACTAGGGAACATTTTCCCATTTCTTTAGGTCTTTTATTGTGTCTTGCAGAAACGCTCTGTACTTTTCTTTGTATATGGCTTTTGTATCTCTACTTAGGTTCACTCCCAAGTATCTCAGTTTGTGTTTGGCTGCTGTAAATAGTATTACTTTCTTGATTTCCTTCTCTGAATTCTCTTTGTTATTGTAGAGGAATCCTATTGATTTTTAGATACTGATCTTATATTCTGTCACTCTACTAAATTGGCCAATTTACTCTGTCAGTTTTTGTGTTGTGTTGAATCTTTGGGGTTTTCTGTATACTGTATCATTTTATCTGCATATAGCAACAGTTTAACCATCTCTTTGCTGACCTGAATGCCTTTTATTTCCTTCTCTTGTTGTATTGCCCTAGCAAGCACTTCCAATACAACATTAAATAGAAGTGGTGACTGTGGGAATCCTTGTCTGGTCCCTGTTCACAGGGAAAATGCAGTTAGTCTTTCTCCATTGAGAATCATCCTTACTTTTTCTCTTAAATGTGTTAAAGGAGAAAAAGTCTCCAGTGATCCTGATTGCTGGAACCAGTTCCATTATTTGATGACTTCTTTTAGAATAAGTATATTTAGGGCAGTGTTCATTTTTAAGCATAGTAGGTGAAAGCTGTATTCAAAATAGTCATCCTGATGATTTTTTTTAATTTTTGGCCAAACTATGGAAAGTTGTCATCTTTATCAACCATGTCATCTTGTTAAAAAGAGACTCCCATTGTACTGAAAGTTGACGTGCCAGCCTATGCCATTTTCTCATCTTTACGTCATTAGCATTTTCTTTAGGGTCTGGTTTCTTTACAGCAATTGCAAGTTGCCCTTTTTGTGAGGACTATCTAGTTTTGTTAATAATTATATCATTTAATCTGTTTAATGTTGTAGCTTTTGACTCAGGAGATATGACATGACTACCCAATGTTTAGACCGAATGATGGTGCCAGAGTCAGTCTAAAGTCTATTCTTTCTTTCTGTCAGTAAAATGAAGTAGAAACAAGCATTCTACTGATGGATTTGGTATGTTCCCTTACATTCATCCATTACATTTTAGGAATGACTAGTCAGAGTGTTCATTGTAAGTATCCATCATCTTGTCTGGTATGTTATACAACTCAAAAACGTACAGCATTTTATTTTCCAATATAAATTAAACAAGGAGATAATTATTGGTAAATATGCTTAAAATGTATATGTTTTGTTCAGGAATTCAACATTTGAAGTCTTCAAGGAGCAAAAGTTCTTAGTTTTTCACTGTATAAAAATATGTTCATTTGTATCTACTGAAGAATACAGTTTATGAACTGTTCATTTTTATTATTTTACCTGCTGTCCTGAAAGGACCTTGGTGGCGTAATTCATAGGGAGCTGAACTGCGAACTCCAAGGCAGCAAAGCCTCTGGTGGGTTGAATCCCCACTGGCCCTGAGGGAGAGGGATGGGCAGTCTCCTTTGTGTGAGCTACAGCTCTGAAAACCCAGGAGGGTTCGCTACCAGATCATTCTGACTTGACATCAACAAGTTTTGAATTTTATTATACTGAACTTAGTTATTCCTAGTAAAGAGTAAATTAATTTACAACTATACATGTGTGATCCGTTCTGAAGTTTAAATTAAACTTGTTATGGTGAATTAATTAAATTTATATTCAGTATCTCAAATGGGCTTTTGAATTTTTTTTTAATGTAGACTAAAATTTTTAATTTTAATAAGTTCAGGCAAGGAGCTCTGGTGGCCCAGTGGCAAGAGGCTGAACCGCAATCCTAAAAAAAATAAATAAATAAATAAATAAAAGTTTTATGTTGAATTTTTTTTCTTAAAAGGGTTTATAATTTTGCTAATTATAAGTTATTTGACCATGGATTATGTTTCTTTCTTTTTTCATAAACTTAAAAATATTATAACTAAAATTAATTTTTTTTCAGTTAATGAATAATTCTCTTGTGCCATTTGGCAGTTTTAGTGGCCTGGTTTGTATCATTTTAGCAATATTTGCTGACAAATGCTTATTTAATAACTCAAACCAGTTGAAGTGGCACGCAGTGTTTTTAACTTAGTATTTTTATTGAAAACATCTGTTTAAATATTAAATTTACCCTAATGTTTGGATATCTTCTGAAGATAGCAAATGTATGTACATCTTCGAAAGGAAAACATTTTTTTAGTGAATGCTTGCTTACTTGATTTACAAAAAGAATCTCCAGAATTGTGTTTTACTGTCATCCTTATGGTGACTTTCCAAACAGTAGGGAATCGTCCAGTTGTGGATGAATGAGCACAGCAAAGCTGAGAGAGTTGTCAGTAGCCCTGTTGCCACCTTGTGCTGTTTTCTGTGGAGGCCTGCTCTGCAACCAGCTCTTCATGCCCCGTGTTTCTTTGAGCTTTGGTCTCATTTTCTGTAATACCAGGTTCTAACATACACTCGTGACATTCTGAGGAATAGCATGAATTTGGGACATTTGCTGTGGATCTGTTTATGCTTTCATGATAATTTCTTTTTATCTCTTGTACTACACTTGGCTGATTGGTCTTGCTAGAATTTGATATGATGCAACATTTGTTTTTCTTGTCTGTATTTAGATCAAATGATGAAAGGACAAGGGGAGAGGGAAAGTCATTACACACAGAATTATCACTAAAATTATCTGGAAGGTCAACACCAGTAAGAGCACAGGTAGTAAAAAGACATTTAACCCAGACCTTTGGGGAGGAGGAAAGTGATGGGGTCAATCAGGATAACATTCTGAACCTCTAAGATGAGTAGGAATTAGGAACAGTAGAAGTTGGAGAGAAAGGATATTCACTGCAGGGAATATAGCCTCTACAAAGATGTGGTGCTGTTGAGAATTATTGGCTCTAGGATTCAAACTGGACAAGTGAGTGTAGATGAGAATGGCGAACTAACCAGGGACTGCTTTAGATTCTGATCGTGAATGTGGCCATTATCTTTAAATCAGAGAATCATGAACAGAGTGGCAACTGTTAAATTTTCATTCTCAAAGCTGTGTATACAGAGGGGAGAAAAAGTAGAAGAGGGGTGGAGGCAAGGAGGACCATAAGCTATTGGAGCACTAGGTGAGTCTTAGTGATAACTTTCACTTGGGTAATGGCAGTGGTCATAAATAGAATGATCTTATTTGGGACAGTCGAAGACAAAAATCTATACAACTAGATTACTGATTAACTTTTAAAAAAGCGTGAAAGAACATAATCCTGTAACTTCCATTTTTGTGTTAGGTAGGTAGGAATGCTGCTAGGCTAAGGAAGAGCGTTGATGCAGCGCGGGTATGAGGAGTGATCAGATGGTCACTTGCATTTTGGCTGTCGTGCAGTTGAGGTATCTGTGGTAAATATGTATAAATACATATAGGAGGTAATAGTATATCTAATATTGTGTCATGTTCCATAGAGTCAGAATCGACCCAGAGCTGACCCCCCGCCGCGGGTTTTCAGGGGAGGAGACTGCCCATCCTTCTCCTGTGGAGTATCCAGTGGCCTTGAACCAAATGCTTTTGGAATTATAGTGCAGCTTCTTGCCACTAGGTCACCAGAGCTCCATTATATAATATTATATACATATAAATGTATATATGGTATATATGTTTATGATGTAGACAGAGTGGCATCTACTTCCTCAACAACATGCCTCTGGAAACTATGATCTTTAATAAATGTTGATAGTTGTAGAGGGGCTTCCGGCCTTGTAGGGTCACTATGACTCATGTTCAACTCGACCCATATAATAATAATAAGTCAACCACAGTATAATATATATGAGGTATATATGCTCTAATGTAGGGTTTTATATGAGGCATCTGTGGTAAATATATATAAATATATACTTGGATTTGAACTGGAGATAATTTGTTCATTCATTCAGCATTTATTGATTTTATAAGAGTAAAAGATAGAGAAGATAGTCCTTAATGAAATTATGAAATGGGAAGATAACACAGTAAACAAAATGACTTCAAAGTATTCTGAAGGAGATGATGCATGGAATGACATGGAGGTAGTGAGGGGTGTGGTAAGGTTAAAGGAAAATACTAAGAGAGGAAAGCATTCTCATCAGAGAACAGAGCATGTGTACAGGTTCTCAAGGCCTGTGATCCAACAGGAATTTCTACTCAAACTTGTACCCTAATGTTTAGTTCCTGTGGGGTGTTGTTTCTTACCTTTCAAGATCAAGGGCAGATAGAGCCTTTATAGCCAATTTGACAGTAAATGAGAAAAAGATATAATAATGCACAAATGTCTGATCCTTCCATTAACCTCCTCTTTGTCTCGTTGTGCTAGGCTTTTCTTCTTTTTTTCAGTTGGATCTCTTTGGTTCTGATCCTCAACCTCAATGAAACAAAATATTTAGAACATTTCCAAATTGTGTGAAGCTCTAAACTGCAGGTTGTTAATTCTCTCACACTCAAAGATTTGTCTCCTAAATAAACCTTTGTTGTTCCTACTGTACTGAATATCCTCCAAAAACAATCAAGGTTTTCCCATTGTTATTAGTAGAAAGCCTAAAAGAAACTAGGACAAACACGTTATTGCGAGCCCAACTTGGCACACAAGAAACTCAAGAGGAACTGAAATGCGAGCATATTGAACCAAATACTTACAGGATTTTTTAGAAGATTCCTCTTTTACAAAAGGAATTCCTTTAACCAAATGACTGTCTTTATTATAGAATGGGCTTTAAATTTAGTCTCAGTGAGTGTTGCAATCATAAAACCTAAAATCAAGAAGAATTTTCTTCCAAGGAGGGTTCCTCAAGCTTGGCCTTGCTAGCATGGTGGGTAGATAGTTCTCATGTCCACTGTAGGGTATTTGGCGACATACCTGGCCTCACACTCACTCGATACCAGTAATATCCTCCACCTCGAGCCAGGACAACCAAGCCTTTGTAGTGCTGACTCATGGCACGTTCAGCTGCTGCAGAGTGTCTGCGCTTGCACCGTCTTCATGACCACTGGCTTTTTAGTCCACCCACCGTATTGATTGAAGGTTTTGTTTGTTTTCCTTGTTCTGGCCCTAAAACATGGTATTCCTTTCTAAGCTTTCCTGATGATGGGCTCAGAGTAATCAAGTCTCTGTGTGAAAATACATTTGTATTTCTTTTAAAATTGCTGAATGTTCATTCTTTGCCAGTCATATATTTGTATTGTTGTTAGGTACCATTGAGGTGGCCCTGACTTAGAGTGACCATACGTACAACAGATAGAAACCTTGTGTGATCCTACTGCATCCTTACAGTCTCTTCTGTGCTTGCAGCCTCTGTGTTGACCCATCTTTTGTCATAGTTTTGTTTTTCTTGTGGTCCGTGGAGTAGGAATTAACCTATAGCTGACCCTCCAGTGGGTTTTCAAAGACAGTAAATAGCACGGGAAGAGCTTGCCCATCCTCCCATGGAGAGGCTGGTGGCCTCGAACCACATGCCTTCGGGGTTGCACAACAGCTTCTTGCCACTAAATTGCTCATAGTTTGAGAACCATTGTCTAGAGGAAACTTGGACTTCATCCTTCAAGAGAGCACCCACCTGAAGCTTCAGTAGGGCAGCAGATTACCTGGGTCCTGTCATGATGAGAACAGAAGGCTAGCTGTCTTAGGCATTGCTATGTTCAGTCATGCTTACTAGTGCAGGAGACAGTGTCTTGATTTGTGTAGTGTGATATTGAAAGAAAAAAATTTTAAAACATGGGAACTGTGTCATGTTGGAACTGACCTAAACCAGAATTTATTATTCAGTGTATTTATTTATAGTGTTATAATTCACTATCACATGCACTCAAAATATTGCTGAAGGTCATCCAGAAATGACTGGAACATTGACACGGTGACTGCAGCAATAGGCTCAGTGTATCAGAGATAATGAGGATAGCACAGGATAAAACAAAGTTCACCAGTGAGTTGTACTCGACGGCACCTGATGATGACAGCAGTCATCCAGCTTCTTCTCTGTTGATAGTGTGTTTGTTTTATTAGTTAATCCATTTATGCCACAAAATAGGGCCAGATTCAGATATGTTTTTCATTGGGTCACTTTGAATCAAAGTTGACTCAATGGCACATAACAACAGTAACAATAATTCCATAATCATTGGTATGTTGGCTAATTAACCTTCATTTGTGTTTCAGTTTTTCTCTTTATTGAGTTTTATTTTTAATATTTTCTTTATGTTTGCCTGATTTATTGCAATGTGAGATCCCACTGCATGCTTCTGGGGGAAAGTTTTAGAATGCTTTTGAAGATGGTTTTGTGTTGTACTTGTATTTAATAACATACTTCCTAATATCCTGTAGCATACAGATGTCAGCCCTTTTCAGGCAATGGATCGAATGATGTTAAATATGCGAAACAGTATGCAGGAATTGCAAAGAAACTTCGTAAGTACTAAACAGAAAGTAATGAAAACATTGTGAGTTATTACTACCTCGTTATATTTTGGTGGCTTTCTGTCTTTTACAGCATGGCTCAGTACATAAATCATTGTGTGTGAAGAATAGTGTATTCATGGTAGAGGCTGCTAACCAAAGAGTCCATGGTTTGGGCCCACTGTCTGACCGACCTCCTGTATAGCCTGGCAGTCTTGGAGAGCGGCCAGGATTGGACTTGACTTGATGGCAGTGGGTTGTAAACAAATGTAGCTGAAATAAAAATTTCATGGAAAAATAACATATTATTTACATAGTGTGCTAGTGTTCTCTGTATAATAAAAATGCAGATTTTTTTTTTTTAACCTACAATTTCAGCAGCCTGCACTTTGGAAAAAATAGCATTACTTTTTGAAATTTTTAATATTGATCTCCAAAACCTTTATTTTCCTTACAGATAATTGCTGTAAAAGAACATTTTCTTTTTCCCCCCTTTTTCTTCTTCTTATTTTATTTTAATGAATGTTTGCAGAGATTTTGGATTTCCATTCATTCATTCATTGTTTCATTTTTCAAAGGAATATTTTCTGAGTTTGTATTTCTATTTATCTATAACCCGCCTGTTTAAAGTAAAAGAAATTGTAGCATCTAGAAAATTAAGTTTGATGGTTTTGTTTTTTTTAAAAAAAAACACTAAAAACTTCACAATTTCAGGAATTTATGCACTGGGTTTTTTTCTATACAGTAAAAATATTTCTAAATTACTACTAAAAATATTTCTAAATTATTACTAATGCTCCTGCTTTTCTACTCATAATATTAACAATGGCAACAATAGCATGATCTGTCTGAAGAGGAAGGATATCACTTTACTCACCTGGTTTGGATTCTGTGGGTCATTTCAGAATATCACAATCTAGGAATGATTTCAGTAATCGAGCAATCTGGTATCCACAGGAGATACAAAACTTCCTGGTGTATGTTACGATTAATTGACTCAGTGTTGGCAAAATTGCTCATATGGGTCAGCCACAGACTAAATTATCAGGTTTACGGATACGCCATTTAGATACGTATCTAAATAATGCCACAAGACTTCATCTTGTGAGTCCCAAAGACTCACTATCTTAAAAGAATCACTTGTTGTTATTCCTCACAATAAGACTTGGGATGACTGGTTAAAAAGAAGAACCTCACTGTGGATGCCATTTTGATACTTGATGCTGGCAATATCTTTAGTATTGCTTGCAGATATTATTTAATTGAATCTGTCTGGCTTGAATTCTTCATATTTGACTAGACTCTCTAAATTTACAATTAATATATTTGTCTCTAGGGTCACCTTTCAATGGATCCAAATGGACATTCATTTTGTTCTTCCTCAGTTATGACCTACTCTAAAGTAGGTGATGAACCACCAAAAGTTTTCCAGGCCTCATCTCAAACTCGTCGGGCTCCAGGAGGAGTGAGTATTTTCTAACAATTACTAGAACTTTATAAATTTTTGGTTTGAAAGCTTAACCATGTCAGATTTTACTGTGAAGGAGGTGGGGTAAGGAGTATGTAAGGAGAAACATGTCACTGTGGAAAGCATTAAAATAACTGTATTAATTAATGTCGTTTTTTGGTCTATCCTCCAAATCCCAGTATGCCTTTTTTAATCTAAATATCTAATTATGTTTATTTCATGCTGAAAATGAAATAGATATTTTACAGAAGTCTTTCATAAAATAAACTTCATGAGACTGGCAAACCTAAGTCTTGGGACTGTAAGGACTAAGAAGGAGATATAAAAACTGGCCCTCTCACACCACAGGTGTTGGAGCCAACTCTCAAAAATCACTGTGACTAGGAACATTCTTTTAAGTGGTACAGCACTCTTCTGTCAATATGCTGTACTGAGGTAACCTGGATTTGTTGTGATGCTGAACCTTGTGCCTTCGGGGTTTTAAATGGCATAATGGTTATCAATGGTGGACAGTGTTAGGTGGAGCTCCTAGTTTAAGACAGGTTTGGGAGCAGAAGTGACATCCACTTCCTAAACAACATGCCTCTGGAAACTATGAACTTTGAGAAATGATAGTTATGGAAAGGCTTTAGGTCTCTTGTTCATAGGGTCACTATGAGTTGTGCTTGGCTTGATGGCAATCAACAACAACAGTATACACATCCTATAATACACAGTAATACTGTTCTTATGCTATAGAGAAACTCAAACATGATTGCGTAAGGAGACATACAAGGTAAGGATGTACTATCTAACTACGTTATCAATAGGAAAATGGTTCAGAAATAGTGCAGTATTGGAACACTGCATGAAAGTTAAAGCAGCAAGGGATATGGCTCCTGGGTGGCTCTTCAACTCCTTAGGGTTACAGGGGCCCCGCCAGACAGCAGAGAAACAGGGCCGAAGAAAGCTGGGAGGTCTTCCTGCTAGAATTTTCTCAGCTTCCTGGAGTTTTCAGTGTTTTATGTAATACAATACACTGATACTAAATTTCAAAGCCTGCAGAACAAGGTTTTAAACTCTTTATGAATAATAGATATGTAATAAAATTATGCATGAAAATGGTAGACTTCAGAAAGTGAAAAGTGGGGGTTTACTGTCAATGAAGTCTGTTTGGTACTGTGACTCTGTATATTCCTTTCGTCGTTGGATGCTTATTCAGCATTTTCCCCATAAAAGTCTTAAGTATTGAAACTTGAAGCCTGAATTCATTCTTCAGTCGTTTGATCTTCAGAAATGCCAAGCATGTTCTTCCTTCTGATTGTCTAACTCCAGGTCTTTGTTTTATCAAGCTGCCTTTGAAATTTTCTGTTTAGTGCTCTTACTTCATCATTTCTTCCTTTTGCTTTTGCCTCTCCATTTTCAGGAAAAGTTTGTGCTTCTTCTGATAGCCATTTTGGTCTTTTCTTTCTTTCCTGTCTTATTAGTGACTCTTTGTGTTCTTCATGTAGGATGTTCTTAAGGTCATTCCACAACTTATAATCTGTCATTATTCAATACATCAAAACTATTCTCTAGGTGGTTTTTAAATTTCAGTGGGATAAATAGAGGTTTATATTTTTATTTCTGTGAACTTACTTTGAGCCTCATTTTGAACTTTAATATTTGCAATTGATCTTTTCCACAACTGTAAACCGCTGACTTTGTTCTGACTGGTGGATGACATTGAACTTTTCCACTCTCTTTCCACAGATACAGTTCACTTCAAGTCTGTTGTGTCAGATGATGTCAATGTTTTTATCTGCTGTTTGTTTCAAATAAGTAGTAAAAATGAATTTTATAAAATTCTGTCATAAAAGAGCCAGTCTCATTTCTGTCACCAGAGGTATATTTTCCAGATACTATTTCTTCTTTGTTTCCATCTTTTGCATTCTGTTATTACTGTTGTTATATGATGTTGAGTCAGGTGTGATTCATAGTGACCCTGTGAACAACAGACCTGAATCTCATCCTGTTCCTGTGCCATCTTCACCATCTCACATACTTTTGTGCCCATGCTCACTCTGTCAGTCCATTTCTATGGGGATCTTCCTCTGTTTCACTGACTGTCCACTCTTCCAACCATGATATCCTTTTACCAAGAAGTAGCCTCTCCTAACAACATGTCCAAAGTATGAGAGACAGAGCTACACCATCCTTGCCTCCAAGGAGTATTCTGGCTGCACCTTTTCCAGGACATACCTGGTCATTCTTTTGGCAGTCCATGGGATAGTCAGTACTCTTTTCCAATACCTTCATTTAAATGCATCAATTCTTTTGTTATCCCTACTCATTGTCCAGCTCTCAAATGTATAGCAAGTAATTGAAAAGACCATGACCTGAATCAGTGGAACCTTAGTTTTCAAACTGCTATCAATGCTCAGGATTTTAGAGAAGTCTCTGACAATGGACTTACCCCAAGCAGTACATATCCTTATCTTCTGACTGCTAGTACTAATGGTGTTGATTGTGTATCAGAATAAGTTGAAATCATTAACAGTTTCAATCTTTCTCCATCTGTCATGATGTTGCCAACTGACCCAGTGTTAAGGACATTTGTCTTCTTGATGTTAAGCTGTAGTCCATTTTGAGGGTATAATCTTTGATCTTCTGCAACAAGTGCTTCAGATCCCCCTCACTTTCAGCAACTAAGGTTGTATCATCTGCATAATGCAAGTTGTTGTTGAGTCTTTTTCCAATCCTGATGTCACATTCTTCTTCATAAACTCTGGCTTCCGCAGTTATTTGCTCAGAATACAGATTGAAGACTTATGGAGAAAGTATGCAATACTGATGTATATATACCCTTTCCTATTTTAAACCATAGTTTCCCTTTATTCCCTATATAGAATCTTGGTACAGATTTTGAATGAGCATAAATAAATGTTCCGGAATTCCCATTCTTCTCAATGTTAGTCATAGTTTGTTGTGATCCACAGTCAAATGCCTTTGCATAGTCAACGAAACACAAATAGACATTCTTCTGGTATTACCTGCTTTCAGCCAGAATCCATCTGCAATGATGTCCCTGGTGCCACGGCCTTTTCTAGATCATTCTTGTACTTCTGCCAGTTTTCTGTCAATGTAGTGTACCAGTCATTTTTTGGATGTTTTTCAGCAGTATTTTGTTTGCATGTGATATTGATGATACTGTTGGATAATTTCCACATTGTGTTAAATCATCTTGCTAAGGAATGGTCACCAATTTGTTATTAGTGCATCTTGACTGCATTTTCTTTTTTTTTTTTTTACTTCTTATAAGTATTTTTTTATTATTAATTTCAATGAACATTTACAGAGATTTTGGATTTCCATTCATTCATTGTTGCACTTTTCTCCTCACCCCCCCCACCCCAGTTCACTCTTCTCCTTGAAAAGCAAAAGAAAAACTCTTTCATTGGTATACAATCCCCTCGCACTCCCCCATCTCCATCCCGAGTATACTCCACTCTGCACCCCTCAGTCTGAACTCTTATGATAATCATAATGCCCTAAAATATATTACTTTTTTTTTCAGATTCCAAAGTTCTGTATTTTTTAAAATAAAGGTCACACATTGTTTAGAGACAATCTACACAAGAGTTACAAAAAATAGTTGCTGAATATATTACTTTTAAATTGTTCTCACCCGCATCAGCTTCAATGCAGTATACATAATTTATCCAGTTTTCTCAGTGTTACCCCAACACTAATGTCAGTCTCATTCTACAACAGTGACACCATACAGTATTTGTCCTTTTGTGACTGAGATATTTCACTCAGCATAACATCCTCCAGGGCCACCCATTTTGAATAATATTTCACAAGTTCTTTGCTTTTCATGGCAGCATATTATTCCATTGTGTGAATATACCACAGCTTCTCTATCCATTTGTTTGTTGATGGGCACTTGGGTTGTTTCCAACTCCTTGCTATTGTGAACAAAGCTGTGATAAACATGGGTGTGCATATAAACATGGGTGTGTATATATCTGCATGGATGTTGGTTATGGTCTCTTTAGGGTATGTTCCTAGTAGTGGAATTGGTGGGTCAAATTATTTCTTTATTTGCAACTTTTTGAGAAAGCGCCACACCATTTTACACTTCCACCAACAGTGAATAAGGGTTCCAGTCTCTCCATAACCTCGCCAGCATTTGTTGCTTACTGTTCTGTTAAGTTTTGCTATTCTGACTGGGGTCAGATGATAACTCATAGTTGTCTTGATTTGCATCTCTCTTAGAGCTAGGGATTTTGAACATTTCTTCATGTGCTTGTTAGCCATCTGAACGTCTTCTTTGGTGAAGTGTCTTTTCATATCCTGTGCCCATTTTTCTATTGGACTATTTCCCTTTATCTTGTTGTGGTGTTCAAGTATTTTATAAATTCTAGATATAAGTCCCGTATCTGACATGTCATTACCCAACACTTTTTCCCAGTGTATGGCTTCCCTTTTTACCCTGTTGGAGATGTTTTTGGTTGTGCATAGGGATTTGATTCTTAGAAGGTCCCATTCATCTATTTTGTCTTCTGGTTGTAGATTTTTCAGGATACTTGGAAGACTGTTGGCATTGTGGATTAGGACTACTAAAGTTCTTTCATGCTTTTCTTTAATGACGTTTGTAGTCCTTGGTTTTAGTCC